TCTTTGAATCTTTGAAAAGCTTGATGTCATGGTTTCTGCCGGGAAATGGTCCATACAAGTGAGCGATAAGACCGTCTGGGGTTGTTAGTGTTTGATACTTGAGAGCATGCTTGCGTTTATGGCCATTATACACAGATTTTTGGCTCATAAATTTGCCATCGCGCTTTGTGTGACGAGGCCGAGGACGACGTATTCCCCGTACAGTCCCATCAATAAATGCCCAAACGTTTTGCAAGAGGCCACCAGCGTCAAACACAGCGTCTGCGTATGCTTGCAGATTCCGAACCACGTACGATTCGTTGAAATAAAGAAGTTTTGCGTACTTGTCGTCCAAAAGTGTCAGCATGTGCAAAAACTAGTTGATAGACCACTTGAATCTCTACCAAAAGCTTATTCAAGATCCACCCAGCCAACCGGCACAGCAAGTTTGTACAAAAGGATACACAGACCCTCAGCTCCAGTAGCAGCCGTCCTTTCTCGAGTCCGAATGCCTTCTAATCCAAATAGCGTCACAAGTTCCACAATCTGCACCTTTGTAAACCGACATCTTTCGACGCACTGGTCGTTAGAAAGAGCGTTAAAGTTGTACGGTGCGCGGCGTGCTGCCTCCACTGGGAGTTCAGTCGCTAAAAACGAGAAAAGTGCTGCCGAAATAACGGCGTTTCCTTCGTCCATTGCTTGCCTCTAGAGCCGAAACAAAAACACAGACTTGTGATGGCGGCGCACTCTTGACATTAGTTGCCGCACAACTAAGAGAACATCGTTACCATCTTCTTGGCTTGGCGACATTGCGGGGATTCTTTGTCGAGTTGGGATGGGGACAGCGAGTTTCTATAAGTGCCTAGCAGAAATAGAGATTGCGCGTGAGGACGCTACCCAACTTTCTATTCCACCTCAGCTTTACCGCTGCTTTCAGTACGATTTAAGGAAAGAACTTAGCATATGATACAACACGAATTTCCTTTTGAAGTGGTGGATTCGAAGCCTATTCAAACTTGTCGCTTCATCAGCGAGGTTAGGCAGAAATTCCACATGGTAAACAGTATTTTCTGGATTGCACAGTTCTGCTAAAGACCTCTATTGCAGGCTTCGCTCGATCAGTATTCAACTCGAATACGCTAAGCGAATTACCATCGATCCAAACCTATCCATCTTTATCAATCGGGGTAGTTTTGTCTGATCCATTGAGAAGTGGGACGATTTTCTTTCTCAACCCATTGGCTTCGAGTATCTCCTTATCTTTGGATATTAGCCAAAAGGCGCTGCTTAGTTCAATCAGCATGATCGTTTTCTGAAGGCTTTCAATTTTTCGATTACGCATGTATCTTTGCTTCAATGATGAAGCATGATAGAGTGGATCTTCATAACGCTGTTTTCATCAACTGATTTGCTTTCTCCTTCATACCAGATATCTCTGATTCGATCTTCGGTAGCAACCCAATCAACGGAACGATAGTTATTACTCTTCGACCCCGTTTTGCTGATTATGAGTTATCCTTTTTATCCAAGATAATATAGTTCAACAATTTTTCTACTCTTACGATTAGTCGGATTAATTTTAAGTGAACTCCAATTAGTTTTTTTTTT